GTCTGTGAAATCAGGGTAAAACCCCATCGCGAATGTGCTGCTCATACTCGGGGTCGCTGCGATCATTCGCCCGCTGCCGGTACGCAATTCAACCATTGTATCGGAGATTCCGTTTTCGCTTACTGCAGCGTTGCTCGTCGGGTTTCTCGCAAATGCAGCGTTGTTCTCCGATCATCACGAATTGAGCATTAGTCAGCTGGATGGCGGGATTCTTCTGTTTTTCTTCTTTTTGTTCATGCTTTACATTTTCAAATCATCCCGCGAAGACGAGAGCACGGCACCGCAAGTTTTTACCAGCGGGCATTTAGGCCGTGCAGTATTTCAAATAGCGCTGGGCGTTGTTGGCTTATATTTTGGCGGTCAGTGGGTGGTCAGCGGTGCGGTAGGCTTTGCGCAGACGTGGGGAGTTGACGATGCCCTTATTGGGCTTACCATCATTGCGATAGGCACATCGGCTCCAGAGCTTGTGGCTTCTGCTGTGGCGGCGTACCGCAATGAAACTGATATTGCCGTCGGCAACGTTGTCGGCTCGAACATATTCAACTTGCTTTGGGTATTGGGATTAACGTCGAGTATCGTCGAACTGCCGTTTGAGGTTATCACTAATACCGACCTTGTCATGGTGATAGTGTCCAGTGCTTTGATCATTCTGGCTATGGTATCCAGCCGTCGATATGTCGTGCTGAGGTCGCATGGCATTCTGTTCATTGGCCTATACGTCGCTTATCTCTTCTACGTAGTGCAGCGGTGATGAGCGCCTATGCGTAGGAATGACTGCTCCTGGCCGAAATCAGAAGTAACAACCGAGACGCTGAGTGTCTGCCATTGAGAAAGCCGTTATTAAGGGCGGGAGTAACTACTTCTGTTTTGTGCCCCATGCGGTCATTCTTGCATCTGTCGAATTGCTGGCAAACTTGGTTGCTATTTTGGCCATTCGTGTTTTTGCATCGCACAATAGGGTCTCCAGATCTCCTATTATCTCGTTTACCCAGAATTTAGAAATTCTGTATAGTGCGCGAATGAGTAGAGTTCTAAAACTGATGACCATAACTGCCTGCATTTGTTTGCTCGCGATGCAAATGGGTGGGTTGCATTTGCATGTTGATGCCGATGGTCATAATGCAGGAATACACGGAACTCACTTGCATCAACCCGCTCCAAGTGACCACGACCACAGTCACGGTGCTGAGACAGATGTGTCTTTGCTCGAACAGATGGGTTTCAGCTGGTCGGATTTTGTTCCGATGATCCTCGCTTGTGTTATCGTTCTCGCGTTGATTGGATCGATTCAGCTCAGGCTTAGATTTCCACTTAAACAAACTAGCAATGTCCGACACAGGCATCGCTGGCGACCGCCGCTTCGCGCCCCTCCTATCTCTACATAGTCATTCTCTAAAGCTTCTATGAGCGGCTCTTTGCCGGTCTTAGTCCTGCTTGTTTAAACCTGCGTTTTAACGAACGCACTAGGAGATAGATTTATGTGGGTATCACTCACGCGTCGAGTTGGCGCATGCTGCTTGCTGGCATCGGCCAGCATCGCTGCGTTGACTCAAGAAGTGTCAGCCAGTGAAAGCGCCATAGTTAAGTTAGAAGACGCCATCACCAGAACGCTAGAACGCAACCCGACGCTGGTGGCATTTGGTTATCAGATCGAGGCACAACAAGGGCGAGTGACGCAATCTCGGCTTCGCCCAAATCCGGAGCTGGGGGTGACGATCGAGAACGCCCTTGGTTCCGGTGAGTTCGAGGGCATCGATCGCGCTGAAACTACGCTCAGTCTAAGTTGGGTGTTGGAGCGCGGCAAACGCGAAAGGCGCGTGGCAGCGGCGAATGCTGGTGTGTCATTGCTCGAGTCAGAGGCAGAAGTTACGCGTCTTGATGTGGCAGCTGAAACGGCAAGGCTGTACCTCGACAGTCTTGCAAATCAAGAACGCTTAAAGCGCCTTCAAGAGGCTGTCACTCTTTCTGAGCAAACGGTAACCGCTGTTAAAGAGCGCGTGCAGGCAGGACGAACACCTGATGCTGACTTGGCGCGGGCGGAGGCGTCTCTTGCATATGTTCGCCTTGATTTAGAGGATGTAGAACACGAGCTACTGACATCAAATTATCGGCTCGCAGCGCAGTGGGGTGAGAGACAGCCTGACTTTATTCAGGTTACAGGCAACATCGAGTTGCTTCCAAAACCAGAGGAATTCGAGCACCTACTCGCGCGCGTTGATCAGAGCCCGAATGTTTTTCGTTACCTAAGTCAACAACGACTACGGGAAGCGGAGTTGCGTTTGGCTCAAGCTGACGCCAAACCTAACTGGCGTGTCAACGCAGGAATCCGTCGGATAGAAGGGATAGATGAGCAGGCGTTTGTTGCTGGTATCACGATCCCTCTGGCGATGCGCAATCGCAACCAAGGTGGAATTGCAGAGGCGCGCGCAAAGCTTCAAGGCGTCGATGCTGATCGCATAGCGACACAACTACAAATCGAAACTCATTTGTTCGCACGTTATCAAGAGCTACAACACAGCCTGCATCAAACGAAGACTCTGCGCGACGAAGTCTTACCGCGTGTGGAGCAAGCCTTAGCTGATACCCAGAGCGCTTATGCCTCAGGCCGATATAGCTACTTAGAGCTCCAACTCGTCCAGGCCGAAGTATTGAGCGCACGCATGGCGTTGGTCGAAACAAGTATCAATGCGCATAAACATCAAATAGAAGTCGAACGCTTAACCGGGACAACATTGTCGTCTTCGGTCGTTCAGCCATGAGGATTACGCAGAGAATAACAATGAAACGAATACATTACACATTTTGGCTCGTGACCCTGATGACAGGAATCATGGGTTGCAGCGGCGCAAGCTCCGAAAACGACGACTCCGCGAAGAATGGCCACGGTGAGGTCGCTGAGATCGAACCAGTCAAAGGCCCCAACAGGGGACGATTGTTGATCGGCGGTGACTTTGTTCTCGAACTCGCCATATTCGAAACGGGTGTACCGCCAGAATTTCGTGTTTGGGTAACCAACGCAGGCGCAGCGGTTGCGCCCGAAGATGTCAGTGTGCACGCGACGCTCACTCGCTTGGGGGATGTCAAAGATGAAATCAGCTTTGATGTACAGGATGATTTTCTGCGCGGCGATACCGTCATTTATGAACCCCATTCGTTTGTTGTGTCGATTGAAGCCAAGCATCGCGGCGCGACCCATCGCTGGCGATACGCCAATTTTGAAGGGCGAACCCGGATAGGTGCTGACGTTGCCGAGGCGTTCGGGTTGCAAACCGATCTGGCAGGGTCAGCGACGATTCACGAGACCATTGCGGTATACGGGCGCGTCGTACCGAATACTGAAAAAGTGAGCTCTATAACCGCCCGTTTCGATGGTGTTGTTCGGTCTGTTGACGTGTCCATTGGTGACACGGTACAGCGCGGACAAAAGCTGGCTACGATCGAAAGCAATGAAAGCCTCAAGCCCTACGGGATTAGCGCACCGATTGCCGGAATCGTGACTGAGCGTAACGCGAATCCAGGCGAGCAAACGGCGGCGCGGCAGCTATTCAAGATTGTGGATATCTCAACCGTCTGGGCTGAGTTATCTGTGTTCCCATCGGATCGTCCTCGAGTCTCTACAGGAACCCCCGTGACCATCAATGCAGCGGACGGCGGCCTTGAGCGCTCAGGTGTCATAAGCCAGCTCAATCCTGTTGCCGAGGCAAACCAATCTGTTCTTGCACGCGTCGTGTTGGATAATTCGGACGGTGCATTGGTACCCGGTATGTATTTGACCGGCGAGATTCAGGTCGCTGAACATCCAGTGCCGCTTGCGGTGAAACGTACGGGTTTGCAGGCATTCCGAGACTTTACTGTGGTTTATGCCCAAATAGGTGATGAGTACGAAGTGCGTATGCTCGATCTCGGCCGACAGGATGGTGAGTGGATTGAAGTGCTCGGCGGCCTGGAACCTGGCACACGCTACGTCACCACGAACAGCTACCTCATTAAAGCCGACATTGAAAAGTCCGGCGCATCGCACGATCACTGAGGAAGCAGAATCATGCTAGAACACATTATTAGACTGTCGATATCGCGACGGGGACTTGTTCTTTTTGCAGTCCTGCTTCTGAGTGGTCTGGGCTTTTGGAATTTCACACGCCTGCCCATTGATGCGGTACCTGACATCACCAACGTACAAGTTGTGGTGAACACCGAAGCACCGGGTTACACACCGCTTGAAGTGGAACAGCGGGTCACATTTCCGCTGGAAAACGCGATGGCGGGTATTCCGCAGCTTGATTACACGCGCTCGATCTCTCGTTACAGCCTGTCGCAAATCACGGTGGTTTTTGAAGAAGGTACTGATATCTACTTCGCTCGCCAGCAGGTGGCAGAGCGACTGAATGCGGCGAAGGCCGAACTGCCAGGCTCACTTGAACCCGCCATGGGGCCGATCGCTACCGGTCTGGGTGAAATCTTCATGTTCACTGTCGATGCCGAGCCGGGCGCACTGAACGAAGACGGCACAAAGGTCACGCCAACCGACTTGCGTTCGGTGCATGATTGGATAATTCGACCACAGCTCCTGCGCGTACCAGGCGTGGTTGAAATCAATCCTATTGGCGGCTTTAAGAAACAAATCCTGATCGCCCCCGACCCTGCAAAAATGTTGGCCTATGGTCTGACCTTCGCAAACATCGCGACGGCGTTAGAACGCAACAATGCGAACCAAGGCGCAGGCTTCATTGAGCACAACGGTGCGCAGTGGCTCATGCGGATGCCAGGACAAGCCACCGAAATTCAAGAACTGGGAGCGATTGTTGTTGATGAAACAAATGGTATACCCATTCGTGTGCGTGACGTAGCAAGTGTGGGTCTAGGTAAGGAGTTGCGCTCTGGCGCAGCTACGCAGGATGGCCACGAAGTGGTCATGAGCACAGTGTTCATGCTGATCGGGGAGAACAGCCGTGCAGTCGCCAATGCCGTGGCCGAAAAGCTGGTCGATGTTCAAATGAGCCTGCCGCCAGGCATCAGAGTTACAGCAGTTTACGACCGCACCGGCTTGGTCGATAAAACGCTGGATACGGTGAGAACCAATCTCGTCGAAGGCGCTTTGCTAGTGATCATCGTCTTATTTGTGTTTCTCGGAAACATTCGCGCGGCACTACTTACCGCCGCCGTGATTCCTATCGCCATGCTGATGACCATTACGGGGATGGTGCAGACAAAGGTCAGTGCCAATCTCATGAGCTTAGGTGCGCTCGATTTTGGATTGATTGTTGATGGGGCGGTGATCATTGTTGAGAATTGTATGCGGCGGCTTAGCCAGGCGGGCAAAGCAACCCTAACGCTTTCTGAACGGCTTGCCGTAGTCTTCGATGCGACGCGTGAAGTGATTCGACCCGCTATGTTCGGTGTTTTCATCATAACAGCGGTCTATATCCCGATCTTTGCGCTCACCGGTATTGAAGGCAAGATGTTCCATCCCATGGCCATCACGGTGGTAATTGCGCTTGTCAGCGCAATGATTTTATCGATCACATTTGTACCTGCGGGTGTGGCGTTACTGTTTAGAAAACCGATCCCGGAGAAAGAAAATGCCATCGTTCGCGGTGCACGATCCCTTTACCGACCAGCCCTAACAGCGGCACTCCGATTTCGCTGGTTTGTCGTGAGTACGGCGGCAGTGTTTGTGGTTGTGTGTGGGTGGCTAACCACCCAGCTGGGCACTGAATTTGTGCCGAATCTGGATGAGGGCGACATTGCCATGCATGCCTTGCGTATTCCAGGCACGTCGTTGGCACAAGCTGTGCGAATGCAGGAAGAGTTGGAAACCGAGATCAAGAAGCTTCCGGAGGTGGAGCGCGTGTTCGCCAAAATCGGTACTGCGGAAGTTGCAACTGATGCTGTTCCTCCGAGCGTGGCGGATAATTTTATTATCCTGAAACCGCGAGATCAGTGGCCTGATCCAAACAAGCCCAGAATGCAGTTTGTTAGGGAACTAGAGCAACAGGTCACACCCATCCCCGGCAATCGCTATGAATTTTTGCAGCCCATTCAAATGCGTTTCAACGAACTCATCGCGGGCGTCCGCGCTGAGCTAGCGATCAAAGTGTTTGGCGATGATTTTGAGACGTTGATTGCGCTTGGTGATGCAATCGAAACTAGCCTTAATAGTGTCCCGGGGGCAGCCGATATTGCTGTTGAACAAACTGCAGGTTTACCAGTTCTAACAATAGTACCGAACCGCGAAGCAATCGCTCGTTACGGGCTCGCTATTGCAGACTTGCAAGAGTTGGTGAGTACAGCGCTTGGTGGAAGCCTTGCCGGACAACTCTACGAAGGTGATCAACGTGTTGATATCGTTGTGCGGCTACCAGAAGCATTGCGTGCCAACCCTGATGGCCTGTTGGATCTTCCCGTACCATTGAGGGGTGGGGACTTCGTCCCGCTCCGCGAACTTGCGCACACGGAACTGGTGAATGGCTACAACCAGGTGACCCGTGAAAACGGCAAACGCCGCATCGTTGTGACTGCGAATGTGCGCGGTCGTGATCTTGGCTCTTTTGTTTCCGAGGTTCAGCAAGCGGTTGCGCAACAGGTTGAACTCCCTGTCGGTTATTGGATTGAGTATGGCGGCACCTATCAAAATCTACAGTCAGCAGCGACTCGTCTGAGCATCGTTGTGCCTGTGACGTTGTTACTGATCGTCGGCTTACTGGTGATGGCACTTGGTTCATTCCGAGACGCAGGCGTCATTTTCTCCGGTGTGCCGTTGGCGCTAACCGGCGGGATCATCGCTTTGTTGATTAGAGATATCCCGTTTTCGATTTCTGCAGCGGTAGGGTTTATTGCGCTTTCGGGGATTGCTGTATTGAATGGGTTGGTGATGGTCTCCTTCATTCGCGATCTACAGACCCAAGGCCTAACGCTTGACGATAGCATCGTGGAAGGGGCATTGACCCGACTTCGGCCGGTGTTGATGACTGCACTTGTTGCGGCACTTGGCTTTGTACCCATGGCATTGAACACGGGCATTGGCTCAGAGGTGCAGCGTCCGCTTGCAACAGTCGTGATTGGCGGAATCATCTCATCAACACTATTGACGCTTCTTGTAGTGCCTGCGCTGTACAGGTTGGTACATGGGCACAAGAAGGTCGTTGAGCAAACCGAAGCTGCGTTGCAACCATAGGAGTAGATGACTTGAAAAAAATACTAGCTGATCTGGCGTTAGAACTTCTACCCCGCAACGTGTCGGCTAGTCGTCCGCCGGAATGGCCCAGGACGATGCTCGTCTTTCTAGCGGTGACGTTAATCCTCGTCGGGACAAACGATGCGATCGCCCATGCCGTTGCTGAAGGCGACAAGGGCTACATTCAGGAGATAAGTGGTGTTCACTTACTCTCCTTTGTGTACCTGGGTGCCAAGCATATGGTGACTGGATACGACCATATCCTGTTTCTTCTGGGTGTGATTTTCTTCCTGTACCAGATAAAACACATCGCTTTGTACGTCAGCTTGTTCGCCATCGGGCACTCAAGCACGATGTTGCTCGGTGTCTATTTTAGTATCGGCATCAACAGCTACATCATCGACGCGATCATAGGGCTGTCGGTGGTTTACAAAGCCCTCGATAACATGGGGGCATTCCAGCGATGCTTCGGGTTCCAGCCCGACACCAAAGCTGCCACGCTATTGTTCGGCTTCTGTCACGGCTTTGGCCTATCCACCAAAATTATCGAGTATGACATTTCGCCAGATGGCCTGATTCCGAATCTACTTGCCTTCAACGTCGGTGTCGAAATCGGCCAGTTGCTCGCGCTGGGTGCCATTTTGATCGCAATAAGTTACTGGCGCCGAACTCAAAGCTTTTGGCGTCATGCTTACTCGGCAAACGTCGCTTTGATGTCTGCCGGTTTTGTGCTCATCGGTTACCAGCTCACCGGTTTCTTTGTTACTTGAAATTCAATAGGAGATAGCGCTTATGTACAACAACACTATTCCGTCGCAATCCGATCTTCCAACGGCAAAGCAACTACGGCGTTCGACATTGATAGCTCTGCTCACTGCCATCGTGATTCTCATAACGATTGTTCTTCCTTCCGAATACGCCATTGATCCAACTGGTATTGGCCGCGCGCTTGGCCTTACGGAAATGGGCGAGATCAAGGCACAGCTGGCTGAGGAGGCGGCTATAGAAACGGTCGCGGAAACTACAGAAGTCCAAGTTGCTGCTCAGCCAACTGTGTCCGCTTCGCCAGTCACGGAAGCGAACTGGCGAGATGAGATGCAGGTTGTTCTGAAGCCTGCGCAAGGAGCCGAGGTGAAGCTGACTATGAAAGAGGGAGAGAAGGCCGAATTCAGCTGGATGGTGCAAGGAGGTGCCGTTAACTTTGATACGCATGGAGATGGCGGTGGACAATCCACCAGTTATGAAAAAAGACGCAATGTAGCCAACGATGAAGGTGTTCTCGAAGCCGCTTTCGACGGCAACCATGGATGGTTCTGGAGGAATCGTGGGGATGCTGATGTGACGGTAGTTATACGCGCGCGTGGTCACTACGCCGAAATGAAGCGTGTGATGTGATCGCAAGCTAAGTGAGCCAATATTTTATTATGAGCGGTGTGAGATTTCACATGCACAAATTGCCGCCTTGTTTTAGACAAGGCGATTTAGACACCTCGGTGACAATCGAGTCTATTACCAAGGAGATGCCAAGATGATTATTTGCACTCTGTTGATTGTTGTGGCGATGTGCGCGGCTGCCGCGTCCGTTACTGTGTTTGCCCACCCCGATGGGCATGGCAACTTCGACGAAAAACCAATACCGACTAACTGCATAGAGCTGGCTAATACAGACCGATACACCAACGACGTTTCATATCCCGAAATCAAGACGTTGAAGGCGCGTTGCGATGCCAGGGAGAAAAAAGAGACTGAGTCGCGAAAGACACCGGCATCTCAGCCCAGACCAAAACAGTAGCGGTATCGTAAGCGAATGTTGGTGAAAATTGAGCAGTTTGATTCTGAAGACCTTGCAGACTTAGGGAGTAAATGACTTGGAATCACCACTCGCTGATCTGACATACCGCAGATTGTTCACCGCCCAGGTGATCGCGCTGGCGGGTACTGGGCTGTCAACGGTTGCACTGGCACTGTTGGCATACGATCTAGCGGGTGGCGACGCAGGCGTTGTCCTGGGAACAGCGCTCGCGCTCAAAATGGTCGCGTACGTTGGTATTGCGCCGATAGTGGGTGCATTCGCTCATCAACTACCACGTAAGGCTTTGTTGATCGGACTCGACATTGCCCGTGCCATCACGGTGATGTGCATCCCTTTTGTCACGGAGATCTGGCAGATATATGTACTTATTTTCGTGCTCAACGCTTGCTCAGCAGGCTTTACGCCGACCTTTCAAGCGACTATTCCAGATGTTCTACCAGACGATGCACGTTACACGCGCGCTTTGTCATTATCTCGATTAGCTTACGATCTCGAAAACCTGTTGAGTCCTTTATTCGCAGCCGCTGCGCTTATTGTGCTGAGTTACGATGCACTATTCGCGATAAATGCGACTACATTTCTGATCTCAGCGTGTTTGGTTTTTTCGGTGCAACTACCATCACCCCAACCGCTTGAGCGTGACCTTGGCTTATGGAACAACTTGACGTTTGGTATTCGAGCTTACCTTTCGACGCCGAGATTGCGCGGGCTGCTCGCACTTTCTTTTACTGTTGCCGCCGCTGGCGCAATGGTCATCGTCAACACAGTAGTTTATGTGCGGGAGCATTTCAGCGGTTCAGAGACTGAAACTGCATTAGCATTTGCTGCCTTCGGTGCAGGTTCCATGATCGTAGCACTGGCCTTGCCCCGCTTTCTTGATCGTTTTCCCGATCGTCCTTTCATGCTTATGGGCAGCATGGTTTTAACCATTGGCCTCTTGCTTGGGTTATTTGAGCCCGGATTATTCGCCCTGTTGATGATCTGGATCGTACTGGGTGCCGGTACATCGCTGATTCAAACGCCCGCTGGCAGGCTTCTCAAACGATCAGCCAGTGAAGGCAACCGACCAGCGATCTACGCTGCGCAATTTGCACTGTCGCATGGCTGTTGGCTGATTGCTTACCCACTCACTGGCTGGGTTGGCGGAACCTTTAGCCTTACAGTGGCCTTTTTGATACTTGGATCGGTGTCGATAGCATCAACTATTGCTGCGATGATACTCTGGCCGACGAACGATGAAGTTGAGTTAGACCATATGCACGGGCCAGCGCGTCACGACCATCACCACTTTCACGACGAGCACCATCAGCACACCCATGAAGGATGGGAAGGTCAGGAACCACATCGGCATTCGCATTCGCATACTGCGATGAAGCATAGACATGCCTACGTTATCGATCTCCACCATCCAGAGTGGCCTACGGATTGATAAATAAGGCTATGGCTTAGCCGAGACGCGTGTGGATAGATGGTCAATTCTTCAGCCATAGTGCGCCGCACAATTTTCCACTGAAGAAGCGGCTCAACCGGAAAAGGGTTTCTCGCTTGTATTTGATTTGGCATGGCTCTGTGAATGACCGAAGTTGGCCGAAAGCTGCCACTCAAGATAGACTTTTGGACGGCGGCTTTGTGCTCAAAGCGGAAGGCAGTAAAATGAGTATCACTTGCGTCGGATTTTGCCGATTTTTTTTTGAACGGTTGCGGTCAACGCAGTTTCAACTCAATGCCGGAATCCGATCTAATTTTTTGTCGCATAAGCAAAGGGAGTAACCGATGAAAGTGCAACCATTCTTGATGCTGATCGCCGTTTTTCTGATCGGCGGCTGCGACTCACCGAAAACACCGACACCGGAAAAATTAACTATTGCTGACGCAATCTTCTCGAACGGGCCTATTATCACAATGGACGATAGGCAATTGACAGCTGAAGCTGTAGCGATTGCCGACGGCCGTATACTTGCAGTCGGTGATCTAGAGTTAGTAGATGTCCATCGCGGTCACTCGACTGTCATGATTGATCTCGAAGGGCGGACTCTGTCACCCGGCTTCATCGACGGTCATGCTCATCTTGCACAATTCGGTCCGCAGGCCATTGGTGCCAATCTGTTAGCGGCGCCGGACGGTGAAGTCGAAACCATTGATCAGCTAGTCGAGAAATTGACGTTGTTTGCGCGCAGCGACGATGTCCAGCGAACTGGTTGGATTTTCGGAACCGGGTATGACGATTCCATTCTTGCTGAAGGGCGACACCCCACACGTGACGACCTGGATAGGGTTTCTACTGACGTACCGGTAATTGCTACCCACATCTCCGGGCATTTCGCCGCAGTCAACAGTAAGGCACTCGAGGTGATCGGCTACGATGCGGACACAACCGATATTGTTGGCGGAATTATACGCCGTCGGCCAGGCAGTAATGAGCCGAATGGCGTTCTGGAGGAACTTGCGGCCATCCCCGTGATGATGGCGAACCTCACACCAAAAACGGCAGAAGACCAGCTCTACTTCATGCAGAAGGGATTGGAGCTTGCAATGTCTTTCGGTTATACGACGGCACAAGAGGGAAGAGCATTTAAGACTTCACACGACGCGCTTGCGGATTACGCCACAAACGTTGGGTTTCCAATTGATGTCGTCTCTTACATCGACTATAGCGATGTCTCTCCGCTTGAGAGTGATTGGCACACAAGGAAGTATCGTGGCGGCTACCGGGTAGGTGGTTTGAAGATCACATTGGACGGTTCGCCGCAAGGTCGAACCGCTTGGCGCACCGAACCCTACTTGATATCGCCAGATGGGCAGGATGCTGACTATGCTGGTTACCCAGCAATTCCGGACGATACGATTGTCGAGGAGTTGGTAGACAAGGCTTACGCGAACGATTGGCAAGTGATCATGCATGCGAATGCGGACGCAGCCATCGATCAGATGTTGCGGGCTGTCGGCGCTGCTCAGGAGAAGCACGGGGCGGGTGACCGGCGCAGCACGCTTATTCATGGCCAGTATGTTCGAGATGATCAGCTTGAACGCATGGTTGAACTTGAAATGTCAGTTTCGCTTTTCCCTTTGCATACATTCTACTGGGGTGATTGGCACGGGCAGATTATCGGCGAAGAGCTCGCCCAAGGTATCTCACCGACTCGTACAGCCCTAGACTTGGGACTTCCTTTGACTAGTCATACCGACGCACCAGTTGCACTACCCAACTTGATGCAAGTGGTATGGGCGACTGTTAATCGAACCTCAAGAACTGACAAAGTGATTGGGCCTGATGAACGCCTGACACCACTTGAAGCAATGCAAGCTGTGACGCTTTGGGGCGCGCAACAGCACTTCGAAGAGGATCAAAAAGGCTCAATTGAGGTTGGCAAACTTGCAGACTTGGTCATATTGTCGGAAAACCCGCTGGCCATTGAAGCGGCTCGTCTAAATCAAGTGGTGGTTCTCGAAACCATCAAGAACGGCGAAACGGTTTGGCGGCGCGAGCAATGAGTGATAATTCAGTAACAAATTTGGGCCAGAAGTAGCCTCTGAGCAGCGGCCGCTTCTAGCCGAAAGCGGAAGTAGAAATGGCTAAGTGAAAACGTCTGCTTTGTGCCCAACTCAGTCGCTCCGTGATTTCCAATATTGAAGTTCATCGCCGCAGGTCGATAGCGACTTTGTCCGGTTCGCAGCCATTAACGGTTTCATACAAAGCGTCTAAACTATGGGCAACGCATTACGGCAACTAATATCTATGCAAATATCGAGAACACTACTTCTACCCGCAATGATGTGCATTTTTTGCGCAGCATGCACTACCGCTCCTTCGGAAACACCTCAAGGCTCGCCTCCTTCGGCAACACCTCTAGGCCCGCCTCCTTCGGCAACAACTCAAAGCTTGCGAACTTTGCTGCTGGACGATCAAAGTTTCAGCGAAGAGGAGTTCGGCAAGTTTGCTTCTTGGCGCTGCTATGACTATTCGCGTGAAGGCCCGATTTTAGTAGAGGTTGGGGTGTTCAGCAGCGGTGTACTGGATGGATTTGGTTTCGTTCTTTATGACGGTACTGATAGTGGCGAGACCACGGACTACGAAAGGCGGGGAGTCAACAGGCGGTGGGATTGGGGTCCGAATGGCGTCAACTTCGCGTTTGTCTTGAAGCCCGATGGTACTGGCCTATTTTACGATTTTACCGGTTCAAATGGCGAAAAAATAAAGGCCAACGAGATTTATAAGTGTCGAGCGACTTAAGTTGAGTAGGACCCGATCTCACGCCAGGGCCGCGTTTTTTAGAGTTTCTGCCTGATGCACTGCGCATGCGTTTGTACGCTTGTGCGTTAAAGCAGCCGTAATCAACCGGCGAGAAGCGTCTAGTCGATTGGCTCGTAACTCTCATCGAATCCGTTGTCGGGTATCCAAGTTTCGTATTCGTGAGGGGTTTCAAGCTTCCGGACCACGAGATACCCAGGGAAGATGCGACCGCTATGTGGAGGGGGCCTCATCGACCTACTATTCGATAGTCTATCGTATCGATGTTGATACTCGCGGTTGGTTACCTCGACAGCCCGAACTGTTTCGCCAAAACGCTTAGAGATTTCCCCGTCTACCGCGCGATACACGCGCATCGCGTTTTTGTCCATGAACTTCCGTGAGTGATCGAATCCCATGCGTAGTTCCGTGTAGAGAGTTGCGGAAGGTTAAATCACAACTAAACACAATTGAGACCGGGATTCCAGAAGTGTGACGCATGTCAGCTTCTGGCCGAAAGCAGACACTTTTGAGCCATTTTGCACATCAAAACTAGGGGCTAAAATTCGACTCCCATTTCTAGCCGCCTAAGAACAGCTTAGGGTACTCGGCGACAAGAAAGTCGATCAACGCGCGTACCGAAGGCAGCTGGCTTCGCCGTCGGGGTATTAACAGTGATATGCGGGCACGCTGAGTGACCCAGTCAACTAGTACAGGTGCCAGCGCACCTGCCGTAACCGCATCTTGAGCGACATAGGCGGGCAACGAAACGATCCCATGTCCGGCGATTGCTGCGCCTTTCAAAGATTCCATATCACTACTTCGGAGCCTGGGTCTAACAGGTACAACCACAGTTTGATCGTCGCGCATAAATTGCCACGACGTATTTTCGGTCCCGGTCCCTAACGCAAGCGTTGCAAACTGAGCAACATCTGCAGGCTCAGACGGTGTGCCTTGAGCGGCCAGGTACGTGGGCGCGGCAAAAACGTGCCAGGGTGTTACGGCAAGCCGGCGCTGCACCAAAGACGAGTCCGGTAACGGCGCACTATGGCCGCGTAAGCCAATGTCAAATCCCTCTTCTATCAGGTCCACGTTCCTGTTCGTCGTGTATTGAACGAGGTCAACTTCAGGGTAAGCTGTCATAAAGTCGCTAAGCAACCCACTAACAAAACGAGCCATGCCAAATGAACAGGTAATTCGTACGGTGCCGCTGGGTTCCGCCAAAAGGTTCGTAACCACTTCTTCTGCAGCTTCTGCTTCGATCAGCATGGCTTTTGCGTGGCGATAGAAGGCGCGTCCAACATCGGTCATGACAAAGCTGCGCGATGTCCTTTCAATCAATCGCACTCCAAGCCTTGACTCCAACTCGATCACACGCCGACTGATGGTTGACTTGGGCAGACCCAGCACGCGGCTGGCGGCGGTAAAACCACCGTGATCAATGGCGTGCACAAAATAGTGGTGGTCGTTTAAATCCAGCATAAGCGTGCAAATGTCCCAAAAATGGGACGATAAGTCCAGAAAAAGCTAATTTTTGACCTTATGTCCTATTGATAAGATTTCGGCACCTTTTTAATGAGTTCCGAGAAAACCGCAATGCAGCAGATACTCAAAATCAATCACGTTGGCTTGCGCGTGCGCAGCCTGGAGGTGACCCGCCAGTTCTACGAAAAGCTTGGCTTCGAGTTTATCGTCGGTCCCATTGGCCCGGAGCCAGTGGCTGTGATGGAGCATCCAAGCGGCGTCAATATCAACTTTATTCTAAATGCGAGTGAGGATGTCCCGCCCGTCAATCTCCTGATGGACGTTGCGGCCAAACACACAGGATTTACCCATATCGCATTGGAAGTAGATGATCTGGAAGCGGTCGAGTTCGTAATACGTGCCGCGGGCATTGTGATCACCGAAGCTGTGAGTTTGCCCAGTGGTGCGGAGTTCTTCTTCGTTCGTGATCCAGACAACAACGTGCTCGAATTTCACCAACCGGCTTAGCTCAATCAACAACAGTATAGGAATTAACCTTTGAAGATCTTGACCATTGCAGCAACCAATTCAACACAATCCATCAACCGGCTATTGCTGAACTATGCCTGCACGCTTGTTAAGGATGCCGATATCGTAGCTTTGGATATCAACGATTATGAGATGCCGCTTTACAGTAGTGATCGCGAAGCTGCGCATGGCATTCCCGACGAGGCCCACCGCTTCTACCAGGACATTGGTGCAGCCGATGCCCTTTTGATCAGCTTTGCTGAACATAACGGCTCCTATACTGCAGCGTATAAGAACCTCTATGACTGGACTTCGCGCATCGACGTGAAGGTCTACCAAAACAAACCTACGGTAATGCTGTCGACATCGCCCGGCCCCGGCGGGGCGGCAAATGTGCTGGCAGCGGCTGCGACGTCAGCTCCCTTTTTTGGCGCGGACCTGAAAGCATCGATGTCAGTACCCAGTTTTTTCGATAGTTTCGACACCACAAGCGGGTGCCTTAACGATAGTGGACTGGTGAAGCAGTTGCGGGCCACATTGTCGTATCTGGTAGAGGCCGTATGAAAGAACCAGTGCTCGAACGCAACTGTCAGAATTCTCACAAATCAGATGTTGCAGGTCCGACATGGAGTGTCTTGCGAACACTGCTCGGCGGCGCACCGAAAATCCTTTTGAATGAGCGGCTGAATGCCGCCTCTGACTGGTACCCGAATTTCTCGGCGAGTACCGAGAGGGTTACTGATGACGTCAGTAATTCGTCGCGCGCGAGTTGCATGCGCCACTCAGTGATGTATCGCTTTACAGAATCGCCAACGAGTTCACTGAACCGTGCAGACAGAGCTGATCGAGACATACCTATCTCGCTCGCCAGAATTGAGACTGTCCATTCGCGCGAAGGGTCGCGGTGTATTGCCGATAGCGCGAGGCCAATCTGTCGATCTTTCAGGGCGGCTAGCCATCCGTGCTGGGCGTTAGCAGATGACAGCCAGGCACGAATTGCCTGTACGACAACGATGTCGGCGAGACGAGTGATGATGGCCTCGCTGCCAGGGCGCGCAGCATCTGCTTCTCGTGAGATGAATCGTGCGGTATCTCGCAGCCACTCTTCATTTTGCTCAAGCGTATCAACCTGGACGACAAGCGGAAGTATCTGTATCAACCGGCGGGCGCCAAGAGGGTCATAGCGCACGCCGCAATAGCTAACGCTGGTGGCAGCACCGCCGCCTCCGAAGTTCATGCGCTCGTATCGGTCTGTGATCATTTGCACTGGGACGTCGGTGAGAGGTGTGACCGGGGTGTTAGGCGCACTGCGCAGTTGGTGCTTAGTACCGTGCGGAACCATCACCAGGCTCCCAGCCCTTACTTCACGTGTTGGTTGACCGGCGATATCGAGAAATAGGGTGCCGCTATTGACAATGTGGATTGCCATGCAGTTTGGAATTCGTGGCAGATCGAGGCCCCAAGGCGCGGTGAACTCTGCTCGACAGTGCAACACACCGGTAAGTTTCAAAAGCCTCAGAGGATCGGCGAGTGGATCGTTGGACGGCGGCAGTTGGCTTTCAATATTTGGCGTCGCAATCTTCAATTCGGTCACGGCAGCAAGCTCTGGACGAATGATCAAAAATTATGGCTTTCGGGGAATTCAGTGTCCAGCCCGCACAGGGCAAAGTGATGCCTGTTGACCCCCATTCTCCCTAACAAAAGGCACAGCAAAAATGTCTGATACCAAAATTCTGATCGTTGGCGCAAATGGCAAGACCGGTTCCCGGGTTGATTCCCGCCTCCAAGACGCGGGTATTCCGACTATCGGCGTTTCCCGTTCCACAACCCCCACCTTCGACTGGACCGACACCAAATCCTGGCCGTCCGTGCTGGAGGGTGTCACAGGTGCTTACCTTACTTACCACCCAGACCTTTCCGTACCGGAGGCGGAGGGTCACATTCGCACGTTCTGCGAGATGGCCAGTAAAGCCGGTGTCGAGCATGTGGTGTTGCTGTCGGGGCGGGGCGAAGAAGGCGCTGCACGGGCCGAGCAGGTACTTAAAGACAGCGACCTGGACTGGAATGTCTTGCAAGCCAGTTGGTTTGCTCAGAATTTCAGTGAGAATTTCCTGCTCGACGGCGTTCTTGCCGGTGAGCTGTTGCTGCCTTCGGGCACTTCTCGCGAGCCTTTTGTCGACATTGATGACATCGCAGACGTTGCTGTTGCTGCATTCATGGAACCGGGCTTGCGCAACCGTCTGTTCGAGGTGACCGGTCCCCGTACTATGACATTTGCGGAATGTGTGGACGAGATTGTTGCAGCCGCAGGTTTTCCCGTGCATCTGACGGAAGTGCCGCTGGATGTTTATATTCAGGCGCTCAAGGATCAAGCTGTACCCGAGTATCTAACGGAGCTCCTTAGCGAGTTGTTCGCCGTCCTCTTTGATGGTCGTAATGCTTACGTTGCTGATGGCGTGTCGGAAGCACTTGGCCGTCCGGCAACGGACTTTGCTCAATATGCGCGAAAGGCCGCTCGCGCGGGCCATTGGATACGTGAAAGCACGGGGAGAGTCGCCTGATGGACAATACAATTTTCGCATCGTTAGCCTGGATCATGGCCATTTGCAGCGGGTTGATGACCGGCACCTATCTGGCGTTTTCAGGATTTATCATGCGCTCGTTCGCACGCCTAAACACAGCCGCTGCAATTGCCGCCATGAATGCAATCAATACAATGATATTGAAATCGCCCTTCATGCCTCTGTTTTTTGGCTCAAGTATCGTTGCGTTGCTGATGCTGCTGGTTGGTCTGTGGCATTGGGGGGAGCCAGGTGCTGGCCTAGCGATTGCCGCTGGGCTCACCTATGGGCTCGGTATGTTTGTCGTCACGGCCGCCGCCAACGTACCACTTAACAATACCCTTGCCCGGGTCAGCGGCGACGAGGAGGAGGCGGAACGAACCTGGAAGCACTATCTCCAACGATGGACGCGCTGGAACACCGTGCGCACTATTGCTTCGTTCGCGACGCTGGTTCTTTGTCTCTAACTGAAAATTTAATGAACCAAACTTAATAAGATGCTGTCCGGGAGAATAACTTGAAGTTCGTGAAATGGTTTGTTGTTGGATTGTCGGGTATTGCAGCATGGTCTGCTTTGGCTTTGTACCTCGCAATAAACGGCGTTTGGATGAGTGCGGTTGTAGAGAAAGGTAATGCTGACGATTTCTACGAATGGGCTGTCGGTGAAATCAATCTAAAGAGCAAAGGGAATGCGGCGCTTGTCCTCCTCGAAGACGGAGCGGTTACCCAACAGTTCTTCGTTGGATCGCAGGATATTGTTGATGAAAACACATTATTTTCAACAGCGTCTTTCAGCAAGTGGGTGACTGCGATGAGTGTCATGTCTTTAGTTGAGAGAAATGCTGTCGATCTCGACGCTCCCGTATCAACTTATCTGACTCGTTGGGTATTGCCAGACGTAGGATTCAACAATGATGAGGTTACTCCTCGAAGGTTACTGAGTCACACAGCCGGCCTGACTGATGGACTGGGTTTCGGCGACTATGAAGCGAACGAGGTACTTCCTGCTGTCGAGGAAGAATTGTCTAACCCCAGGGCTTCGAACGCTGTTGATGTGGAAATTGTTGTCGGTATTGAACCAGGCACTGAGTTTATGTACTCGGGCGGCGGATATTTGATACTGCAGTTGCTGGTTGAAGAAGTCAGTGGGTTAACTTTCCGGGATTACGTTGAAGCCTCGATTCTTAACCCGGCTCAGATGCGGCGATCTTCCTACGATTTTCTCGCCCATTTGGAGAACGCCTCCGCCTCCTACAATCTGGATGGTTCGCGGGCGCCGGCCTTTCAATATGCATCCCCGGCAGCTACGGGATTTTCCAGCTCTGCCTCTGACTTATCAAAACTCGCCGTGAAGATATTGTCTGGCGATGGCGGTGTACTTTCTAATGCGAGCTTCGAAGCGATGCGCAAGCCGCATGGCTTTGTTATGGGAGCCGGTATTTGGGGGCTCGGAACAATTCTTTACGCACCGACACCGGGTGGAGACTATGTATTTGGACACGATGGCGCCAACGACCCAGCGATCAATTCCACCGTACGACTCAACCCGGATACGTTAGATGGCATCGTTCTGCTGGTGTCCGGTCATCCGACACTGGCTTCGAATATAGGGTCGGAATGGGTTTTGTGGCAGACCGGCTATCCAGACTTTCTATCGACTGAAAGGGCACTCCGAAGCGCGTCGCTGCCAATTCTCCTCGGCGGTCTGATCGTAGTAATTTTCGTCTTTGGGTTGGCCCGTAGACAAGCCTAGATCGGCTACCCCAATATCGTAGAATGCGTAAGCGTTCAGGAAAACTCTGGAGGTAGGATGCGATCGTCCGTTTTTGGCCATTGCTGCCTTTCGTTGATATAGATTCAGCCCACTTCTATCAAGAAAAATGGATAGCCGAAACCCAGTCCTCAGCCCAGGTGCGATTCGGGCTTTCCCCCATGTCGGCCAGTGACGCGGTCAGAAACTCAACAAACACCCTGACCTTGGCGGGTAAATATTCACGCTTGGGATAAATCGCGAACACACCACTATCAGGCTGCGAGAGCCTTAGACAAGGGTAGAGGGAAACTAGGGCGCCACTATCCAGACCCTTTTTCGCCAGAAAGTGGGGTAGTTGAGCAAAGCCCAAGCCATCAGCGCACATATACGCCATCGTTTCCCCATCATCGGTGATATGACTTCGCTCTAATTCATACGGGAGATATTCACCTTTATCATTTGGCAGAAAAATGGGCTGAAGCTGTTGCGTTTCTTTGATGCGGAAGCCAATCCACTGATGTTGTCGGAAGTCTTCGCGGCAACGAGGCATACCCTGTGTCTCTAAGTATTGCGACGATACGCAGGTGAGAAAATCCATTGGGCTGAGGCGTCGAGCCACTAGGCGGCTGTCTTTCACATGGCCTGTACGTAACGCAACATCGATGTCGTTCTCAATAATATCCAAGTGTAAATCATTGAGCTCGAGTTCCAGCTTGATTGCAGGGTACCGTCGGCAGAATGCGGGTAGCAAGGCGCGAAGATAGAGGTGACCGTAGCAGACCCCTGAACTGATACGCAGCGTACCGCTGGGAGCATCGTTCAAGTGTTTTAACTCGGCTTCGCAAACGGCGAGGTCTTGAATCGTATTGCGTACTGTGCGGGCATAACGTTTTCCCGCGGTGGTTGGTCTTAACTGTCGAGTGGAACGTTGAAAGAGGGTCAACCCGAGCTGAGTTTCCAAACGGCCGATTGCCTTGCTGACCGTGGATGGGTCCGTGTTGCAAGCTCTTGCTGCCGCCGCGAAGCTGCCGCAATCAAAAGTGGCTAAAAAAATCTCCAGAGACCGCATTTTGTCCATTCGCAAAGTATAGCGAAAAGGACGTGAATAATGTTCACGTCTCTTAGGGGCGCCGACCCATTCAAAACGTTTTGTTAGTTCCCTAAGATTTGTCAGCTGAGGGCGACCTACCGTCGTTCGGGTTTATCCGTAGGGGCAGAGAGTGTTTTATAGATCGAGTACTGGAGTAGCTTTACTGCTCGGATTAGCCAGCTTCGCCAATGGGACATTCATGACGATCGCTCCTGAATCCTGGTATTGGATGGTGCCAGGCGTGCCGGATAGAGGGCCGTTTAACCAGCATTTTCTCAGGGATATAGGCTTCGTTTACATATTGATCGGTACCGCTTTTATATATGGGGTTGTTTACCCCAGGCATCGATTGCAACTCTGGGCGCTACCAGCCGCATGGCTGGTAGGACACGCTGTCTTTCATATTTGGGAAGTTGTCGTGGGCATCTGCGGTCCCGAATCTCTGATAGAGGATTTTGGCGGTGTGACACTACCGGCATTGTTGGCATTAGGTTTGGTCTTTGGCAGCTATAGAGCTCATAAGAATGAGTAGGCCAGTTGTTGTAGGCCTGCTTCTAAGCTTGGGTGCGATTCTGGGTACAACGTTGATTTTCATTGCGCCTGAAACCGATGAGCAGCAAACAATTGAATGGTTGGAGAACCCTCGAAGTTTGCGGAACTTTAGTCTCGAGACTGAGACTGGTGAGTTTAATAACCAATCCTTAAAGGGCCAATGGACTATCGTATCTTTTGGATTTCTGCATTGCCCCGATATATGTCCAACAAGTTTGTCGCAGTTGGGAACACTGGCCAAAAATCTGGCTGAAATGTCTCTTGAACAAGAAGTGAGCTTTGTTTTTGTATCCGTTGATCCCGGGCGAGATTCGCTCGCAGAGATTAGTCGGTATGTGCGGCACTTTCATTCTTCAATCTTCGGAGCAACGGGTAAAGAGGAGCAATTGACTAAATTGACGAGTGACCTTGGCGTTCAGTTTATGGCCTCACCTGATACAGATGACTACGCAGTTTCTCATTCCATTACTCTTTCGATCATTGACCCTAAAGGAATTTTCCGTGGGCGGTTCAGGCCGGGTTTTGATGCAGCTAACTTAGTTAAAAATCTAACATTAAAATTGGAGGAGGCCAGTATCTAGGGTTGCATTTTACGCGCATTCCTAGGCCGCGCTTAGTTATGTTGAACGCTCGAACAATCGCTACCTTCACTGCAGGTTTCACTACCTTGGCTGCCCTGATACTGGCTATAGATCGTGGTGGATTGATAGGGTGGGGCGTTCTGTTCATTGGAGTTGGACTACTTGCGAAGATTTGGTTAAAAGCGTCCAGACTTGACCTGGGACTGAGTGTCGGATTAGCTGCAATCTCAGTATTGGCGTGGGTCGGCATTCTTTACTACGTCATCTCCACGTATGAGTCGGGAGAGGTGGTAGAACTGGCCATCGACACAAGCAGAGGCGCTCATATTGCGAGATTGTGGGTGCTGGATGTTGGGGGAGATCCGACGGTCTACTATGATGCCGAGCCAGAGGTAGCGAAATCTTTGTTAGCCGGTAAGCCGCTGCAATTCACACGTAAAGGCGTAGTAAGTACTAGAACCCCAAAAGCGATACAAATTGATGCACTGCCAGACACAGAAGCAAAGGGGTTACTCGAAGTAATGCGTGCCAAATACGGGGATCGAATGATGGCTGCAGATGCCTATTATTTGGTGTTGGGGCGCCCCCGAGATCGTGTCGGCTTGGTTGTTAAGCTAATCGAAGATTAGGCAACCTGCTATCAGTTCAGTATGGATGGTAGAAATTCGCGCCCGCTCGAATGACCGTTGCTGGCTGAAATCAGAAGTAACAACCTAGACGCTGAGTGTCTGCTATTGAGAAAGCCGTCTTTCAGGACGGGAGTAGCTACTTCTGTTTTGTGCCTATAGCCGTCATTGGGAAAACCTAAAACAGGTAGATTCATCTTATTGCTTTTCCTACGTCTAGATGGCGTGGTTTACTGACTGGAGCCCATCTGCGGCTTAAATAGTTTTTTACTGGTAGGCTCCTGTATATGTTGAATTTTCTGTTCTTAATACTCGGTGTCGGCTTACTAACCGCTGGCGGTGAGGCCTTGATTCGAGGCTCGTTAGCGGCTGCAAATCGATTCAACATATCCCCATTACTCAGCGGTCTGTTCATAGTTGGCTTTGGCACGTCCTTGCCCGAGTTGGTTGTCTCGGTAAACGCAGCAATAGATGGCAAACCTGATATTGCCATCGGAAACGTGGTAGGTAGCAATATTTCCAACATTCTATTGATTCTAGGGGTATGTGCTCTGATCACGCCATTAGCGGTCAAACCACTCGTTCTGCGCAGAGATGCTGGGACAGTTGTCGCTGCAAGTTTATTGTTTCTGATCTTAGTCGGCGGAAGCGCGCTGGGACGTGCTGATGGTGTTATTTTCCTGGTCGCCTTAGGCTCGTTCCTGGTATGGGCCTATCGTAGCGAACGTTATCATGCTGCTCCGTCTGGGGAATTGCATAAAGCAGAAGCCGAAGAACTTTCTGCCCTGCCGAAATCTCCAGTCTTGACTTTCGCGCTTGTAATCATAGGTCTGCTATTGCTGGTTGTTGGGTCGCAGGTGCTACTTGCTGGAGCTGTTGGAATTGCAGAACATCTTGGTGTTTCCGAGGCCGTTATTGGATTGACGTTGGTGGCAGTGGGTACATCCCTCCCCGAGCTTTCCGTTTCAGTGATCGCAGCGCTGCGCCGCCACGCAGATGTGGCAATTGGGAACGTTCTTGGCAGCAACATATTTAATCTGTTGGGCATACTCGGCATATCAGCTCTGCTCCAACCACTTCCGATTCACTCGAGAGTTCTACAATTTGATCAGTGGGTAATGCTGGGGAGTGCTCTGGTGTTGCTGCTCTTTCTGTTTACAGGGCGTCGCCTCAGCCGACTTGAGGGTGGGATATTGCTGATCAGCTATGGGATTTATGCGGTTCTTAGTTTTACAACCTTTGTTTGATGGTGCACGGCCACCTTCTCGGGGCGCGTTAGGAGATCCGATAAGGAAATATTGGGGCGCGGTAGACTTGGAGTAGGCATATTTACGTAAATTCTGTCAGCCCAAGTCTCACTATGATGGCTATGCTCGAACTGATCAGAGGAAAATTTATGGCTCGTGTTCGCCTGACTGCAATCGCCACCGTGGCCGTGCTTATCATGATTGTTGTATTCCAGAATATGGAAAGCGTGAAGACCGATATACTGTTTTTTTCAGTCACCATGCCGCGGGCTTTTCTGCTCGCCTTGACGGCGTTGGGTGGGTTTGTCGTGGGCCTGCTGGTTGCCTTGAAAAAGCCTCTTCGGAACTAGGCATCAGCACAGATATGGCGTTGGTCTGCCGCTAAAAAAAGCTGTTAGTAGATGTTCGCCACGCGCTGGAGGGGCGCATGTTGTTCAATGTGTGCCGTTCTGATGATCTGCTTCCTGTTTTTTATCATGCTTGCTATCTGTTTTGCGATGCTCATAGTCCTTCGCCTGCTTTTTCAGGTGGTTCAGTTGCGCAAAGCTGATGAGCTTGTTGGATTGCTCATCCCACAATCGGTAGCTGATCGACTTCAAGCTGCCAAACAGGCTCATTGGTTGCACCTCCGCGAACATGGGATCCGAACGATGGCAGCGTTCAAGATTGTAGTTTGGGATTCTCGCGCTGAGGTGGTGAATATGATGAAAGCCGATGTTGCCTGAAAACCACTGCAGCACTCTAGGTAGCTTATAGAACGAACTGCCCTGGAGCGCCGCGGTGGTGTAATCCCAGTCTTCACCGCGCTCCCAGTAGGCATCCTCAAACTGGTGCTGCACGTAAAAAAGCCAAACCCCGCAGGAACCAGCAACACCAATAATGATCAGCTGAATAAACAACCACGGCAAGAAACCGAATATGGCAATTAAAACCGCCGCCACACTACCTACTGAAACGTTCATGATCATCACCGAAGTCCTCTCCCTTCGCCGGGCGCCGCTGGATGGGAACCGCTGACGGATCAGGAACAGATAAAGAGGCGCAACAAAAAACAGTATGAGTGGGTTTCTTGCCAGTCGATAGCCAGACTTTTTCCACCGCGAAGAGGCAAGGTACTCTTCAACCGTTAGTGTCCACACATCGCCAACACCACGGCGTTCAAGGTGTCCGGTTGTGGCGTGATGTACGGCATGTTCCCAGCGCCAGTGGTAGTAGTGTGTGAAGGTGAGTACGCCAGTGATGAAGCCCCAGGTTGCGTTGGCCGCATGTGACTTGAAAAATGAGTTATGACCGCAATCATGGAAAATAATGAATATTCGAATCAGAAATCCGCCAGCCAGGATCGCCAGCGGAACCGTCAACCACCAGGAAACAGCCAGACTCAGATAGATCAGGTACCACAACGCGACGTAAGCCCCCACCGTGTTCACAATCTGCCAGCTTGCACGCCAGGGATTCGGCTTCTGGTTCGGCGACAATCGCTTTCCACCTGGCAACCGCCTCTGCGGCAGTTTTTTTGCTGGCTGGTGCTTGTTCGATCATCTTAAGGATTCAAACGTTTTGTTTGTCTGTCTCTATGCAGGCTAGAAGTAGGCTAAGTGAAGGGCAATAGGTAGTTTTCCCGACTCGGCTGAGACAATTATCTATTGAGGGACCACCTATCGGCCCAGATCCCGGGAATTTCAGCGCGGCAGATGATCGTGATAGTCTCAACGTCCCTTCCTGCACATCGTCACATATCATGAAAACACGCTGGTCTATCTCTGTTCTTTTGATTTTTGCCGCCACGGCAATACAGTCTTATGGTGCTGAGACTCAGTGCGAGCCAGGAAGCGATATGTCTTATATCTGCGATATAGAAAACGCCGAAGATCTCGTGTTAGTACCAGACACCAAATGGGTGCTGGCAAGCGGTTATAGTCCCGGCGGTGCCGTATACGCTATAGATTCAACAACCAGAGCGTTTCATCAGGCTTATGATCCGGCGAAGACTGCCTACCAGGCAGAAATCTATCCGGCGTGTGACACCCCACCACAGGCAGACGCGTTTGTTGGGCATGGGTTAAGTATCCAGCCCGGTGAAAACGGCCACTCGACGTTGTATGTCGTTGGCCATGGCGGCAGGGAAGCGATTGAAGTGTTTGACGTGGCGGTTTCTGACAGCGGACCTGAACTGACCTGGATCGGCTGCGTCATGATGCCAGCTGGCCTGGACGCCAACAGTGTTGCTGTTATGCAGGATGGCTCACTGAGACTCACGGTATTGATGCATCCCGGGTATACATTTGCTCTTGTTTTTGACGGCATAAAAACCGGCGCTGTGTACGCGTGGTCGCCGGGTGATGTTGCTATCAAAAGAGTTCTCGGCTCGGAGCTGCCGGGCAATAACGGCATAGAGGTTTCGTTGGATGGTAGAGAGCTTTACGTCGTATCAACGGGGCTCAGCACAATATCGGTATTTTCCAACACGAACCCGGCGCGCCTGCTTCGTGCGACTCCCAGAATGGACTTCAGCCCTGACAATATTCACATGACCCCCGATGGACTGTTACTGACAGGTGGCCCCAGCTGGGTAGATCACAGCTGTGCGACAGAGGGAGCGTTCAGTCTCGAAGAATTTGCCACGTGTCCGCGTGGTTCCGTAGGCGCTACTTTTAATCCGGTCACCCTGGAAGAGGTTGAGCGTTGGCGTGCGGGTCCAGGTTCAGTGTTCAGCAATGCAACGATGGCGCTCGAAGTGGGCACCGAGATCTGGTTCGGCACCTTCTCCGGCACTCGTATTGGGATTATCGATACAGACTAGACGCCCATTTTGGCAAGGGAAGCCACAAGTTCTCTGGCCAGGGCTTCCAGACGTGGATGCTCTGCCGCGAATCGGGCGGCTAAAGCTTCAGCCGCGTCTGCAACGCCGTTTGTTTCAGGTGGCTGTGCATCTGCTGTAAGCAGCTTATGAATATCGTCATCTAATGTCGCGAGCAGGCTCTGCAGCTCCGGATCTACACTCTGATCACCGGCCAGTTCTTTGTGCAGGTTAGTTAGCGTTTGTTTTAATTGTTCTTTTTCCATGGCCTGTTCCTCATAAGCGTTTATAAAGCTACCATCGCGAAAGACGATCAGCGCGTCAATGGCCGCAGTAGTGATTGCTACAAGCCATCGATGCATCATTCTGCCCCTCGCTGCCTATATATTTGGAGATCAGAATGGGGATAGATGCAGCTGATTCTATATCCTCAGCCGGAAGGCCCCTCTACGTGAAAAAGCTTGTTATAAATGCTCCAGTTACCCTCAGTTTTAAGAAATGACAATGTGTCCATAAACGTCATTCCAAGATAATCATCTCGAACTTTGGCCACTGCCGTGTTGCCCGCAATGTCTAATGAGAGGATATCCAGCCGGGCTGGTTCTCCCTTTTCCCTTGCTGATGGTTGCTGGCTTGCAACAAAATCCGCAAAGTCATTAACCGACATTTCGTGAAGTCCGTCCTGCAGATATCCCGTGATCTTCGCATTAGGGTGAAACACGGCATGGGTTTTCGCCGCACTGGAATCGTACATACAGTCGAAGTACGCCTGGATCGCAGCTCTTATTTGTTGTTCGTCGCTCACTTCAATAATCCTCAGTATGCAACGCCAGCCGAGTTGTCCTCATGACAAAGCATGCAAGCGAGTCAAGCATATTGATGCTAAACCTTCACGCTGTATATAGTCAGAGAGCTCAAAGCCCGACCATATTCCAGCCCAGCCGCAATTTTACGGATTTTTCTGAGATCGTGTCGAGCAGGGAATCACGCACCTAACCGGAGAGGTCGAACTTCCGATTGTGGCCGTTTGGAGACAGAGAGGGCAAGTTTTTGGGGGAAAGGTCAGAGCGACCGAGTAGTCCCGGCTGTCCGCGCCTGGGTAACCCTATGGGCGAAGCGATTCAGCAGCGACGAATTGTCATCGCGACAAAATTTCGAGGATGAGATAAAGCGTATTCCTGCTGAGTAAAGCAGGGGAACATAAGCTACGACACGAGGATCACTGGTGATTGTGAACTCAACATCAAAGCGTGTGGCGAGTCGATCACCAAGGCGTGTTGCGAAAACTGGCTCCGTTAAATTTAGCCGGAGCCAGTCTATCTACCTAATCTCCGCTATTTAACTTTCAACTTAAGTGTCCTTGCGACCGTGTTTTCCAGCACATAGCGTGCTTGCTCAGTCAGTTCAATAGGCGCGACGGTTCCTGCGCCACTCGTAGATACAGGCAAAGGTTCGGGAACAGGCGTAGTACTACCACTTGCAACAACAGCATCGACCCAAGGTGCGTAGTTAGAGACGCGAGTATCGCCGGACATTTCACCGTATGAACTGTCCAGAAAGCAGTTGGTATCAGGCACGTTACCCGTAAAATCGCCACAACCGTGGGTAAAACCGAAGGAATGAACGCCAGCAATCTGGCCATCGATAAAGCCTGGACCGCCAGAGTCACCAGGTGCCACAGCAATCTCAAGGGCCCCAAAACCTTTGTCCCGCAATACGCTGGCCTTTCCTCGTGCAACGTTACACCTCGTTGCATTGGCATTCGCATTGTCGATGGACGCTGGGCACAGGAAAGCCGGAGAGTACCACCAGGGCGCAGCATCATTCTTACCCGTGCCGTTATCAAAATCCGCAATAAGCTGATCTAAAAATGGGATGCCAATCAGGGGCGCAAAAGTAGCGTCGTACTGATTTTTCCCCGTGCGCCCATAATAAAAATCAGCGCCGTTGGTGGCACCTTCATCACCCTCACCGCTGCGACCATGCCCGTAATGTTGTGTTTCTTTTTGTACCTCATCCCTGGAGCGGTATAGCGCATAGGTCTCAGTGCCTTCAGGCACAGCGTTAGCAAGTTCAATCACAGCGATATCACCAGATGCAAAAGCGCCTAACACAGGCTCCAGCAAATCGAATTCCGGATGTACGGAAAAGCCGATGGCTGGCGTAATGCTAGGGCCCACTTGGCCTGCATTTAAGACAAATAGTAAGCTTGCTACTGCGTCATTACCGTTTCTTAAACAGTGAGCAGCAGTTAACACATGGGTTGGCGAAATGGCCGAGGCAGTGCAGATGAATCCATCACCACTCGCGAACTGAATAAATATTGAGCCCACACCATTGCGCAGGTTATCCCCTGCATTAGCGTAGATGGGGCTGGCGGGGTCGCCTGCGGTCACGAGATACGGAGCGACGTCCATATCTATGACGTCATCGTTAGCGAACGCCAACGGTGCCAGCAAAACACTCACTAGGGTTAGCTTTAGAAGATGAATCGAATCCATTTTTGGTCCTTCTTTTATTTTTGTGTTGATTGTTTTTATTTTCGAATCCACAGCCCGATAAAATATTATGCGAAGGCGATTTGCAATAACCTTTGATCACTCCAGGCCGACGGCGCCCTTTTGCACATGGATTCAACAAGTCCGCTTAGTGCCCTTTGCGGTCATTCCGAAGTTCGATAAGCTGATTTGTTTTGCGGAGCGAAAATCATGAATTGGGAGGCTTTAGGCGCGATTGCAGAATTGATAGGAGCGATAGGTGTGATTGCCACATTGGTCTACTTGGCCATGCAGATCAGACAGAACACAATGGCACAGAGAAGTGCGTCTCGATTGGAAACAACCCGCGCGTTCACTGAGTGGTACACGGTCGTCATGACTGAGCCCGAATTGATGAAGGTGTGGACGAAAGTGTTTATTGATGGCTCGGAACTGAGTGATGAAGATCGCACTAAATTCGTGTGGATGATTTCGGCAATGTCCTCACGGATCGAAGAAATGTTCACACAAAACAGAGCTGGCCTTATAGAAGACACTGTGTGGAACGAATATCGGGGAACGATGGCGGCTTTCCTCGAGGTAGATGTTGTTCGTCAATGGTGGGAATCCGGTGCGACAACCTTCTCTAATGAATTTCGTCAAGAAATTGAATCGACCAAGCAGTATCAACAAACCTGGAAGGCGGCTAACGTTGGAGAAGCTATTCGAAAATAGTGTTCCTACTTCACCCAAGGCGGCACGCATAATGATGAATTGTCGGTAGGAGCCAGCAAATTCGAGAATGCGTACCAAAACGTAACGCGAATGGCGGCTCCTGGCCGAAATCAGAAGTAACAACCGAGACGCTGAGTGTCTGCCATTGAGAAAGCCGTCATTAAGGGCGGGAGTAGCTACTTCTGTTTTGTGCCCACAGCGGACCCTGGCGGGGATGTGGCGTAGTGATGGCGGGAGGATTTCGTAGACAGCAAGCTCTCGTTGATAGACATTCGCTATTCCGCAAACAGGATTGAAAGCAGCATGCAACTGGACACAGATCGGGTTCGCACCGAGCGAGAAAAAAGGGCTTGGAGCCAAGGTCAATTGGCGCAAGTTTCTGGCCTAGGGCTTCGCACTGTACAGCGAATAGAGTCCTCTGGAACCGCATCATTTGAATCGGCAACCGCATTAGCATCAGTGCTTGAAATCGGCGTTGGGGATCTCATCGATAGCTCGAACGAACCTAAAAGGAAGAAAACGCTTCTAGCGTTGTGCGCATCTAGTGCATTCGCCTTACTAGCAGCGCTCCTCTACAGCAACGCTTTTGCCGATGAGGCTCTACTCCTCGACTATGTCTATGAAAAGGTGGCCCCAGATGACGTTTCTAAAGCGGAGTCGAAATTTCTGCTTCACTTCGACGAAACTGCAGCGGCGGAATTAGGGGGACGCTTGAAGATCGTCTTTCGAGGGGAAGAGCACGCCGATTCTGTAGAGCTAGAAGTGGCGGTTTATGAATACACTGAGGACGAACAGGAGTTGCTTGTTGGTCGGGGTGTTGCTTCAACTCGGTTTGGCGAGCCGCTTCTTTATTCTTGGAAAAAGACAGGTGAGCCTGACTACAGTCTCACTGTGATCCCAACACGGTCAACGATAGCCGAGTAATCGCCACAATGTCTCTTGTTGGCCGAAAGTACGCATAGCCAGGCAAGATTCTAACGGCGGATTTCTGGAAAGCTGCCGTTCAACAAGGTGGCGCGAGGGTCTCAGTTGTGCCCACTGCTGGCGTTCAAATTACGATGTGAGTGTTTTGCCCGGGAACACTTCAGATAGCGGGCAGCGTTGCCCCTGAATGCGATCAAAGAACGTCAAAACGTATCGTGCGCATAGAAATAGCTCATTTTCGTCCGCCGCGTTGCGTACCTCATGTTGCATGCGAAGGCTACTATCACTCAGGCCTACAATCGCGGTGGTAACAGATAAGTGTGGCCCGAGAGTGATTGGTTTTTGGTGCTGCAACTGAAAAACGGTCGCGCCCCCAGTAATACCTCTTCGTTTTAGGGTCGCCTGATCTGCACCCAGCTTTGTCTGTGTGGCCCAAAGAGCCTCGGTTATCACATGCCACAACGCACGTGGGGTCATAATATTATGTGCGTCAACCTCCCGGACCGTGTCTGGCTCGCGAAAGTCATTCAACGTGCTTCCTCTAAAGGCCATCTCAATTTCTGAGATATCGTGGTCGGTTGCGTCACCGGATGCGACAGGTGTGTTGTCCCAAGAGCCTGGGTTTTCGGATTGGGTAACCCACGGTACTAGTTCGCGGTTGAACAGGCAGACCGTACTTTTATCTCTTGTTCGGCGCAGTTCTCCAGCAACCCTGATTCCGTGCCGGTCATACGTGGTGATCCCGGCATAGGCTTCTACTTCGTCGCCGGGATGCAATTCAGCGAGAAATCTCACCTTTTCATCAGTGGCAAAAACAGGGAGCTGGACGCTCAAGCCCGATCGTTCAATGAGGATTTCGGTTGCCTCACCTATTAATTGAGCATAATGCTGGATATTGATGTGACCAGCCCGCCCTCTATGCACATCGGTGAAGGTTCTACGAAGTAACAACGGCTCTTTTCCCATAACGACAATTTACCTGAATTTTCGCTGCCAGTTGAGAAATTCCTAAAAGCTGTTTCTGGTCGAAAACCAACGTTTTTCCTTTCAATCAACGCCCTGAATTGTGTTCGAAGACGATTTTGCAGAGTGCTCTTCGCCGTGTATCTACTGACACCATGCTGTCAGTAGCGCCAGTGCATACTACAAATCTAATAGCTGGAAACAGATCATTATGAAGCACTACTACAATGCAATGAGTCGCGCTGTAACGACCCACTGGATGCTCACCGAACTCGGTGTCGAGCATGAACAGATTGTTGTCGATTTCATGATGGGTGAAACAGCTACGCCTGAGTACCGTGCGATTAACCCCATGGGCAAGATTCCCACGTTAGTCGATGGAGACACTGTCGTTACTGAGGTCGCTGCGATTTGCGCGTACCTTGCAGATAAGTTTCTTGAAAAAGGTCTAGCTCCGGCTCCGAACTCCAGCGATCGCGGCAGGTACTATCGGTATTTGTTTGTGCCAGGGACAACGTTAGAGCCGATGTTTACTTTCGCCATGGCGAAAACGGAAGACTACTCAGCTCAATCGGCAGGCTTTGGCGACCTGGAGCGATGCCTGGCCACAATCGAATCGATGACGCCAGAGACCGAATGGGCTCTTGGCGCTCAGTTTACTGCTGCCGATGTTGTCTTTGGAGGCCTGCTTGATTTTGCCGTTCAGTTTGGTTGGCTAGCCTCTCCCAGTCCCAAAGTGGCGGACTATGTGCGACGTATCAAAGATCGGCCGGCGTATCAGCAAAGTCATGACGCCGCCTGGCATTAACAAGTTGATCAGGCCTGCCGCCACCAGGCCACACCATCTTTATCTTCCTCCACGGTCAGCATTCGCCGTTCAAGCGCACAGTGCAGGTGCGCAATAGATTCACCTGTCGCCGGAAAGAAACTGTGGTCAGTAATCTGGCTTTTAAACAAGGCTGGGAATACATCCACCGCGCGTTTGGGTTCGTCACACATGTCGTAGAGCTTCTCCAGGGCAACCTCATGCCAATCGATCAGTGCGGTGAGTCGCTCGTGCACACCTTCGTATAGGCTTTCGTGCGCAGGTAACACCAAGAGGTTAGGTGGTAACAGTTCACGGAAGCGCGCGCAGCTGTTGAGAAAGTCTGCCAATGGGTTGGCGTGGGGTTCGCTGGGTTGCACGCTGACGTTGGGCGTGATCTTTGGCAGAAGCTGATCGCCGCCAATAATCAGTTTTAATTCTGGGCAGTACAGACAGACATGTTCTGGCGCATGGCCATGACCAATCACAGCGCGCCATTCACGATCACCAATTTCGATGTACTGGCCATCCTGGATGCGCCGGTAGCCGGCGGGTAGGGGTGGCATGTTGGCACCAAACTGACCAAAACGTTCACGGTAGCGATCGAGTCGATCTTCGGTGAAGCCTGCGCGGCGGTAGAAGCGAATGGCGTCGTCTGGCACATCGGCCGGTCCGTCCCCGGCCATTACTTTGCACATGTAGAAATCGGCGCGACTCATCCACAGTTCACACCCCCAGCGCTTGGTGATCCAGCCCACAAGCCCGGTGTGATCGGTATGCAGATGTGTGGCAATCACGCGGGTGACAGGTTTGCCATCAAGGTGTTTGGCGAAGATATTTTCCCAGTGTCCTTTAACCGCCTCGCTCGGTATGCCGGTATCGACAATGGTCCAACCCGGACCGTCACGTAACAACCAAACGTTAATGTGGTTCAGCCGTCCGCCCATGGGCATACGCACCCAGAACACGCCATCGGCCAGGCGTGTGACCTCACCGGGCTTGGGCGCCTGGTCCTGAAAACGGTAGGTGAGCGGGTCGAACCCGCGCTTGGACATGTTATCAACCACTGCTGGCTCCGGTTCTATTCGACGTTAGGATTGGGGTGAGTTTACCGGTTCCGCACTACAAAAGTTGGCCTGTCTCAGCGCTTTGAAATGAAAATCATATATTGACGCTAATCACCCAGGCATACTGCTGGGCAAATATTTACAGCAGGTAACAGACATGAGCATCTCCTTCTACGACGCCAGCGTCGGCGCCTATACCCAGGTTCTCGACAGCGTAGCGGCCATCTTAGACAAAGGCGCGGCATTCGCGTCAGGCACGGGACTCAACCCCCAGGACATTGTCGAAACAAGGCTCCGCGAAGACATGATGCCTTTCCATTTTCAGATCGTATCCGTGTGCCATCATTCATTGGGTGCGCTCAAGGGTATGCGCGACGGACGTTTTTCAACACCGTCTTTCGATCTGGACAAAGACTATCAGGGCTTGCAGGCTATGATTGGCGATGCCCAGGCAGGCGTGGCGTCGTTTTCGGAGGCTGACGTGGCCGAATTTGCTGAAAAATCCATGGTGTTTGCGGTGGGTGAGCGCGAACTGCCGTTTACCAACGAGAACTTTCTGTTGTCTTTCTCCCTACCAAACTTCTACTTCCATGCCACTACCACCTACGACATTCTTAGAATGTTGGGAATGCCGTTGAGCAAAATCGATTTCCTTGGCCGCATGAAAGTGGGTTGATAGAGGTCTGGAAGTACGCTTCAGAGCTCTAGAACGGATCGTGCGTCTTAAGTTGGGGGAATAGCTGAAAGTCACGGTCTTTAGTCACGAGTTCCTCGACGCCGTGCGCCAGGCACAATGCCGCGATCCGTGCATCGTGAACGATTGGACCTCGAATTCGAGGTTGCGCGATTATCGGCAACAAAGTGGTAAAAAAGTCCTGTGTCTCTGTCAGCAGCGCAAGACTGGGTGCGTTGATCCATGCGTTTATCTGCGCTGATGCAATCTTTGGTGGCGTAGCGGCAGTTTTCCAGATGCGTGGATTGGTCACGACGCTATAAAACTCATAAAAGCATGGCCAGGGTATCGACCAATTGGGTTTGCCTTCGGCCAGTGTTTTTACCAGGTCTTTAGCTTGTTCGTGGAACCGGGATTCCTTGCGGTGTGCGTAGACCAGAACATTGGTGTCCAGCGCGATCATCGTGATTCAGGCTCACCATAAATCTCGTTTCTTAGATCTTGCCAGGTCAGCGATTCAAGTGGGTCGTCAGCATTGGCATCACCGAAACTCATATCTGCCAGTTCGTATGTCGTTTGCTGCTCAGCTTGGGACAGAGTACGCCTTAGGCTTTCTTCAACTACGGCGCGGAGTGGTCTACCCGTACGTTTGGCGAGTTTCTTTGCGCGAATCAACAGGTCGTCTTTTATATCGAGAGTCGTTTTCACAAGCTTAGAGGTCGATTGTAATTGAGCAATACTACCCATATCTATTGATATGGGCAATATGGGTACTTTGAAAGACAGGTGTATAGAATGAACACGTTTACACGGCCCTGCGTCAGAGCAAAGCGCTGCGTGCTATCATTGCGGAAGGATATTATGGAGTGGAAGCGTGCGAGTTCTATTTAATTTAGCTTTTCTTAGTGTACTGATCGCGACCTTAAGTGGATGTGGCATCAACAACATCCCAACCTACGACGAGCAGGTGAAATCAGCCTGGGGTCAGGTGGAAAATCAATACCAACGTCGTGCTGATCTGATCCCCAATCTGGTTGAAACGGTCAAAGGTTTTGCCGCCCAGGAAAGAGACACCTTAACGGCGGTAGTTGAGGCGCGCTCTAAAGTTTCTTCAATGCAGGTCACGCCAGAGCTCATTAACAATCCCGAAGCGCTGCAGAAATTCGAGGCAGCACAACAACAGCTATCCGGTGCGCTGAGCCGGCTCATGGTAGTGGTTGAACGTTATCCTGACCTTAAATCCAATCAGAATTTCCTGGCCTTACAATCCCAGCTTGAAGGCACAGAAAACAGAATCAGCGTTGCACGGCGGGATTACATTGGCGCTGTGGAAAAATACAACACGGAGATTCGCACGTTTCCGGGCCGTATCTGGCATACGGTAATGTACAGCGATCTGCAGATACGGGAAGTCTACGAGGCCACCACTGAAAATGCTGAGGCGGCGCCTTCCGTCCAATTCTAATGATCCTAAGGCCGCTACTTATTCTGCTGGTTGTCTGCTTTACCGCTGCTGCCAGCGCAGCACCTGCGTTCCCGCCGCTCAGCGGGCGTGTTGTCGATGAAGCTAACATGCTCTCACCTGATGCGGAGCGGCGCATAGCCGCGCTGAGCGAGGCGCATGAAACAGCATCTACCAATCAGGTGGTGGTCGCGACGTTTATCGATCTGCAAGGCTACTCTATCGAGGAATTTGGCTACCAACTCGGGCGGGTCTGGGGCATAGGCCAGGCGGATAAAAACAACGGCGTGTTATTGATTGTCGCGAAAGCGGAACGCAAAGTACGCATAGAAGTGGGTTATGGTCTGGAGGGTGAACTCACAGATGCGATTGCGAGCAATATCATCAATGTGGTTATTACCCCCAGTTTCAAACGCGCCCAGTTTGATCAGGGCGTAGTAGCCGGCACACAAGCCATCATCGCAGCCCTGGGTGGCGAGTACCAAACTACCCAAACCCAGGACGGGCGTGAAGACAAAGAGTTCTCACTGTGGAATCTCCTGGCGCTGATTGTTTTCTTTTTCATCTTTCCGAGCATGTTTGGCCGGGGAAGGTTTGCTCGCGGCCTGGCGCTTGGCACTATCCTCAGCAGCGGTGGTGGTGGCCGTTCTTCCGGCGGTGGCTTTGGCGGCGGCGGATTTGGCGGTGGCGGTGGTGGCTTCGGTGGCGGCGGCGCAAGTGGGGGTTGGTAAATGACTTTGTTAACACAATCCCAGGCCAGCGAGGTAGCGGCGGCCATAGCCGAAGTTGAAGCGCAGACCGATGCAGAACTGGTCACGGTGCTGGCTAAACAGGCTGACGATTATCGCTATATCCCTACCTTATGGGCAGCGCTGATAGCGCTTGTCAGCCCGGGACTATTTCTGATTACTCCTTTCTGGCTTGATGTCTCCGATCTGCTGATCCTGCAGCTGGTTACTTTTTTTGTGTTTGCTTTACTGTTACGCATACCCATGGTGCTACGCAGAATCATTCCTAAGTCTGTCAAACGTTGGCGAGCTGCCAATATGGCGCGCAGGTGTTTTCTGGAAAACAATCTGCACCACACAAAAGGCGAGTCCGGATTGCTGATATTTGTTGCCGAAACCGAACACTACGTGGAGATTCTGGCAGACAGGGGCGTTAACAAACATATCGACGTCAATCAGTGGCAATCTATCGTGGATGAGTTCACTGGTAAACTACACAACAAGCAGACGCTTGCTGGCTTTTTAGGTGCGATAAGTCAATGTGGTGATATCCTCATAGAACACCTGCCAGCCACCGAGCAGAAGAACGAACTGCCGAATCATCTGATTATTATCGAGTAGTCCTGCGGCAGTTCCTAAGCACTAACCAGCACTTTGTGGCTTAGGTCGGGATGCGGGTACCACGGGAATCTCTGCATCCGTAAGCGGCGCTCTGGTCTTGCGACGTGCCATAGCTGCTTCTATGTAAGGCGCCAGTGCTTCAGCTTTGCGTGCTTCCCGTTCCTCACGACCGTCCGCAAAATCGTCCAGCACATCTTTATTGAAGCGTTCCAGGCTTTCGCAGATATGTTCATGTTTGTTTTTGCCACCTTGCTGCAGAAAGATCACCTGATCGACGCCAGAGTCAGCAAACCCTCGCATGTGCGCACGAAACTCATCGGGTGTACCGATGCCTGGAGAGCGTGCCATGCTTCTATCTGGATGCGCGGCGCCGCCACCGTATGCGGTATCTGTGACTTTTGCACCGGCCGCTCGCGCGGCTTTACGTTCTTCAAATTTATCCCAAAGCTGACTGCGGCCAGGTAACACGTCGTCCGTAACAAGTGCGCCAATGGCGTATTCGAAAAAGCGGAACCCATCTTCGCCGCGTCTTGACGCTTCGTCATGGTCATCGTGTAAAGAGAAGGCTGACACCATGGCCATGTTGGCATTGACGCTATGGCCGAGCGGCACACACTCTTCAGAGCGAATGATGTCATAATAAGTTGAACTCCAGGTTTTGGCTTCTTCAGGATCGAGGAAACTGAACGCCAATACACCCAGCCCATTACGGGCGGCAACCTTTATGGTGTCGCGATTGGTACAGGCCATCCACATGGGCGGATGGGGTTTCTGTATGGGTTTAGGCAGGACGTTGCGACACGGTAGTGACCAGTCCTGGCCCTCATAGCCGGGATAAGGCTCCATCACCATCATGTCGGCGATTTCTTTAGCGGCTTCAAGAGACATGTCTCGTTTGCGCCGAGCTTCAATGCCAAAACCGCCAAGTTCTAACCTTGTAGCACCTTCGCCAATACCAAACTGAGCCCGCCCATGCGAAATAAGATCAAGCATGGCCACAGACTCAGCAGTGCGCGCCGGGTGGTTATAGTTGGAAATCACCTGCCGAATACCAAAGCCCACCTTAATACGCTCTGTTTTGGCCGCAATGGCGGATAAAAAGACGTCGCTGGCCGAGCAGTGTGAATACTCTTCTAAGAAGTGATGTTCTACAGACCAGGCGTAATCGATACCCAGCTTGTCGCCGAGAACACATTGCGCAATAGCATCGTCGACTAATCTTTGTTCACTGCCTTCATCCCAGGGTTTGGGTAGTTGCAGTTCGTATAACATGCCAAATCTCATTGTCCCTTCTCCATCAGTTATCCCCCTTACATAACCCGCTCAATCGCGCGGAAAATTAACGTCGGGCACCAGGCTCATCCCAGGAATCCGTTAGAATGCCCGCATGTGTTTTCAGATAGGCGTTCAGTTCTGAGGTTGCTGCATCACGGGAATTGAAGGGGCCCTGGTCGTTGGTTTCGCGCGTTGAGAAATACCACTGTCCGTTGGACTCGAAATACCTGTCCGATTTGAAAAAAGATTTGTTGTCGGGATCATTGGGTCGATTCATGAATAGATATACCCTCTGTCGTTTAGCTTAAGGCTTAATCTACTCCCCTGAGGTAAACAGTCAATGTCCCCATGGCACACAAACGCGAGTAACCGGAGAGAGCCAAATGATCAGCTTCAAAACTGAGTTCACAATCATGCTGTTTGTTAGAACAGTTCTGGTTTTATTCTGTATAGCGTCTGTCACGGGCTGTGTTGTCAGAACAGATTTTTACTTTCCGTCTGCACAAGATGGGCGTATCAGAAAAGCCCACTGTCCACCTGTCAGCTCTTTTATACTTTTCGACAGGAAAGGCGCAATCATTGGCGTTCAGAACTCGAAAGGCGCGACTGGAAATCTCAAGATCACCCTTACTTTAGAAATCCCGGAGGACGTGACTATCCAGTTAGCCTCTCGGGAAATTCTGGTGCGTGATGTAACGGGTGGCGAAGCGAGCGGGGTACGAGGCTCCTTAAGTTTCAGTGAAGACTTATCCTGGGACAGCAAGTTAAGTGGATCAACGAAGAAGCGTTTCTGGGAACAGATAACTTATTATGGGACCACGGAATTTACCTATTACGTACTCCGCGCGGAAGTGGACTATCCCGATTCTCTGTCCCACCGGGTTACACTGCCGCCTTTGCTGATTAACGGCGAGCTGATACATCTGCCCGTGGTCACGTTCAGCCTTAAAAGAGAGTCTTGGTTGTCTGGCGGAAATTGTTAGCGTGAAGGTCATCTGTGAACAAAATTAATCCTAAGAAATTACTCAACAGCAAATGGACAGCGGTTGCACCCGCAAAGCGCGAGAAGCACTTCCTTGTAACGGAGGTGGAGTTCGACGACACAGGCGACCTTGTTCACTGCTTAGTAGAGGCGGTGCTATCCAAACGCTCTGCGCCCATAGACTGGCAGGAGCTGAAAAACTCCGAGAACTGGCTTCAGGGTTGGAAATAAAAGAGACCAAATGGCTGGCTTTTCCATTTCAAGTTAGACTGCTCGCTTATCTGCAATATCCGCTCCGGTGAATTTCCGGGTACCTGAACTTTCTAGGAAGCCTTCATGATTCGACTCTCCGTCCTTTTTCTTTGTTTCAGCCTGTCAGCGTGCAGCTCGGTTAGCGGAGACGCGTGGCCTTTCGACGCTGCTCCGATGGCTACTTTTGATGGACCCTGGGCGATGACGTTTCTGCCGGATGGTCGTCTGCTGGTGACTGAGAAACAGGGCAAGCTTTATGTAGTCAGCCCCGGGGGCGAGAAGTCAGCGTTGGTGTCCGGCGTCCCAGCCGTAGCTGCCGGCGGGCAGGGCGGGTTGGGTGATGTTGTGCTGCATCCGGATTTCGAAAGTAATTCAATCGTTTATCTGAGTTATGTTGAAGCCGGCGAAGGCAACTTGCTGGGTGCGGTTGTTGTGCAAGGTAAGCTGGTGTTCAACGGTGATGATGCTGCGCTCGAAGCGGTAGCGCCTGTGTGGTATCAGTCTCCAAAAGTGACCGGGCGAGGACACTTTGGCCACCGCATCGCGTTTTCTGAAGACGGCTATCTATTTATATCCTCCGGTGATCGGCAGAAGTTTGATCCCGCACAGGATATGCAGGGTAACCTCGGCAAGATCGTGCGCCTGAACGATGACGGATCTGTTCCCGAGGATAACCCTTTCTACGACCAGGGTGGCGTGACTGCACAGCTCTGGTCCTATGGGCACCGTAATCCGCTCGGACTTGCGTTTGATGCCAAAGGCCAGCTGTGGACGCTGGAGATGGGGCCTAAGCACGGTGACGAATTGAATCTGGTCGAGCCGGGCCTTAATTACGGCTACCCGCTGGTATCCAATGGGGATCATTACAGCGGCGAAGAAATTCCAGACCATGACACGCGGCCGGATCTTGAGGCACCCGATGTCTACTGGGTACCGGCGATCTCACCAGCGGGTTTGATCTTCTACACGGGTGATGCATTTACCGACTGGCAGGGCAGCGCCTTCATGGGTGGGCTGTCATCAAAAGCGCTGGTGCGGGTGGCGTTCGATGACGATAACGCTTACGAGGCCGAGCGCTTTGAGATGGGTGCGCGGATCCGTGAGGTAGAGCAGGGTCCGGACGGCGCTATCTGGCTGCTTGAAGATGGTGATGGTGGTCGACTAATGAAGTTAACACCGAAGTAGGCTCGAACGGCTAACCAAGCGATTAGTTGATAACAACAAGTTTCAATACAACTTTTTCGGGGGGAATCGGTATGGCGGAGCAATTAGGACAGAACGAACCACCTAGTCATCACGGCGGACTGGAAAATCTTGATGAAGAATACAGCTACTGGATTGACAACATTGAGGGGGTGCTGCCTGCAGATCTCAGCGGCACATTCTTCCGTAACGGTCCTGGTCGTCAGCGCATAGGTGACTCGCGGTACGGACACTGGTTCGATGGCGACGGCATGTTATGCGCGTTCACTTTTCGCGAGGGCAAAGCGCATTTCAAAAACGCCTACGTACGGACCCCTAAATACCTGGAAGAGACTGCAGCTCAGGCCATCAAATACCGGGGGTTCGGTACACAAAGACCCGGCGGCTTCTTTGCGAATATGGGCAAAATGCCAGCAAACCCGGCCAACACCAATACGGTTTACCATGGCGGCAAACTGCTGGCATTGAATGAAGGCGGCCATCCCTGGGAAGTTAACCCGGACGACTTGAGCACCGTTGGAGATTACGATTACAACGGAGAACTTGGTAAAACTCAGGTTTTCAGCGCCCACGGTCGGGTGCATCAACGTACGGGTGACTACATCAACTTTGGCGCGGGCATGGCAGGAATGACGCTTAAAGGTCCGCAACCTTGTTTGAACGTTTATCGCATCAATCCCCAGGGCATGTTGTTTAAAAAGGCACAGATCCCGCTTGCGAACTTTCCATTTGCACATGATTTTGTCATCACAGACCGCTATGCCATTTTCTTTATCGGGTCTATTGTTTTTGATGGCATGGCAGGTGTGATGTTGGGCAACAAAACAATTTCAGATGTTGTTAAGTACGATCCAAATATCAATATGAAGATCTACGTGGTAGATCTGGACAGCTTCGAAATAGTACGTCAGTTCGAAACCGGTGATGGCGCCATGATTCATTTTGGTAACGCTTTTGAACGTGGTGACGAAATTATTGTGGACGGCATGTATCAAAACGGATTTGAAGCCAACGCAACTTTGACCGACGTCTTCAATCCTGCAAGCAAGTTTAATGGTGGCTTCTACAACCGCTACACCTTGAACATGGCTGATGGTTCTCTGAAGGAGGAGCGAGTAACCGACACCGAATGTGAATTCCCAACATTCAATACGGCACTGACCGGCACCGAATCCAGCGTTTGTTATACCGCGTGTTCTATCGACAATGGCGCAAACGGCTTCTTCAATGGTATCCAACGCGTTGATTTCGACGGTAAGTGCGAGGTTGTCACGCTGCCGCCGGGCTA